CATGTTGTCATCCTTTTTTTTTTCTTTCATTTATTATAATCTCAGTGTTGCCTTGGCTCACCATCAGAAAACAAAAGGATTGGAGAAAGGAAGAAGAAAGAAGTAAAGATAAGAGTTGTTTCTTGCACACTTCTTGAAGATCAGTAGAGAATAAGTCTGTAATTTCACTTCTCACCCGTCATGGAGTTTCCTGGGTTCCCTGTAGTAATGAATAAATGAACGTGGACTGGCAGGACATATGTAAGACTGGAGGGTCCCCGTGCTTCCCGATTCAGAATCTCTCAATTCAGAATTTCTCAGATTTCACACAAATGATTGAGTGCTGGTCCCAGGTGGGAAGTGACACCCTGGTCAGGCAGGGCTAGCATCAAAGAGACCACTCTCCCTGAACAAAAACACAGATGTTGCCACAAGTGGCGGTGTGTGCCTGTAATGGCAGCAGGTGGGGAGGATGGTGAAGCAGATCATGAATTTGAGATCAGGGACTGGAGAGACGGCTCAGCAGTTAAGAACAGTTGCTCTCTCGGAGGAACTAGGTTAGATTTCCAGCACCCACGAGGCAGTTACAGATAGTTGTCTCTATGGCAACTCCAATTCTAGGAGATCCAGTACCTTCTTTGTCCTCCCTGGGCACAAGGCACACATGTGGTACACAGATAAACTTCTATACACATACAAAATAAGACATGGACATACATCTAGCCTCTATACATATAAAATAAGGATTTATTTTTTTTAAATTTAAGATCAACCTCGGCAGCATAGGCAGTTGAAGACCAACCCCAGCTAGATGAGACTGGGCCCTGTTGGGGGTAGGGTGGGATAGAGAAGAATGAAGAAGGGTGAGGAGGAGGAAGGAAAAAAAGGAGAATGGGGGGAAGGAGAAAGAAAAAGGACGATAAATAATAAAATATACTCTTGAGTTGCTACCAAATAGGTTAAGAAAAGTTTCTCCTGGAGCTTTGTGGGTTTGGGCAATGTGTGCAAGGCATTGTATACTCCTACTTTACTCAAGAACATTCTCTCCCTGGAGAACCACAGCTTCAAGATATGTCCATCAATTAAGGAGGGTTTAGCTGGTGCTTGCAGAGCATTCTCATCTCACCATTTCTGAGTTTCTGATTGGCCTTTTAGGCTACACTAGCTTTGTTTTTGTAGCAATGCTTTCAGGGTGGGTTCTTCCACCCTAAGCATACCCCAGAGACCCCGGGCTTCTCACTCAATGCACGGACATCTCCTTTGACCCAAGGGAACTTTCCTGAAAATGTTGTTTCCCAGATCTTTAAGAAATATTTTGTTTTTGTTTATGTGAGTGCACATGAGTGCAGTACCCATGAAAGGGCATCAGATTCCATGGAGCTGGAGTTACAGGTGGTATGAGCTGCTGATGTGGGTACTGGGAACAAAATTCTGGTCCTCTGCAAAAGCAGTGTATGCTCTTGGCTCTTAACCTTTGAGCCTCCTAGCCCCCAGCCCCTCCTGGATTTTTTTTTTTAAAGAAAAACCACGTGGTAGACTTTACCAACCTTTTTCTGGTGCTTAACTTTGTCCTTGTTCATTTTATAGTGTCTTGGCTAACTATGTTGTTCTTTGATGTGGTAAGTTCTCTATTTTTCATAATGCTAGGAATCTTTTTTTCTCCTGTAGATCACTCTCACTTCCCAAGTTTTCGCTAGCCAAACACAAACACATCCTCTCAACCTACCACCATCCAAAAAAACAACACAGCATTGAAACACCATTCCTATACTGGCAACAATAACACTACCTAAACACTTAAAATAAAACCTAGTTGATATTAAAAATCAGAGTGGGATTATTTTTTAACAACTGGTTGTCTAAGAGATTTTTTTAAAGTTTTCTTTCTAAAAATATAGTATGGCCATGAACTGTTTTACAGTATGTTTTTAAGCTAATGTTCATCAGTCATACCAAACTCTGGATAGTGACAGTGTGGCAGTCCCTGGACAAGAAAGCTGGAATTTCTAGCACATTTGTTACCTACAGTCTTGAGGAGTCCCAGGGTGGAGCAGCCACCTCTCCAGTTATTACTCAAGTACTAACCAGGTCCATCCTTCTTGACTCCTAAGGACACAGGCACAGCCCTGCTGTAGAACATTAGAGGGACTTTCTTATTTCCAGCTGCACATGTTGGCCAGATTGGCAGGGCTGGACACCTCCAAGTGACTGAAGGTGTTTATAAACAGCAAAAAGGCAAACAGCATGTCTACAGACTCACCCTCTGGGGAGGCCTGGAAATTGTGGATCCCTTCCAGAGTGTAATGGATTTGGACAGGCTTCATGCCCTGGTGACTTTTCTGTGTAAACTTGCCCTGGAGGAGAACAAGAGAATCCATGGCAAGCCTCAGCAAGGATGTGAAGCCTGTGGCTGTCATCAGGGATGTTTATTTGCCAACAAACCCGTGGTTGGTAGGTAAAAGGATCTCTTCCTCCTTCGGTTCCTTCCCCAAATATACTTTAGATGTGATGAGAGGAAGGAGCCTGGTCTCAGGTTTTGGCTCCATAAAGACACTGCTCATTGCTTCCCACAGTTCCAATAAATAAAATCTTACCCCACAGAAGTGCCTTTTGATATTTAAGGAATCACCCTTGGTGCTGATGAGCCATTGAGCCACATTTCCATGTTCAAGTGTTCATAGTTAAGTGGGCAGAAAAGACCCTCTGTCCACCACTGTGGAGTCTCAAATGTTTGGCCAATGTTGACTTAAATTGTGCTTCCTTGGCATCTAATTCTAGGTCATCATTAATAATCTCATTTTCCTAAACACCAGGAGTTCCCTCTTTGAACATCTCCAGGAGCTTTGCCACTATCTACCGGAGCACCTTGGACCTTCCTAAGCTATCGCTGAAGGTCCTCAAAATTCTGTTTCCAAACTGTCTTTTCAGCCCCATTGCCCCTTACATATGATCTCTTCCAATCAAGTTACACAGCTGCCTTGACAGTAAATATGAACTCTGTACCCATTTTCACAAAGAATGACCCCCTTTTTGAGTCATGCCCAAACCCCACTTTTATACCAGACCCGAAAAAGGCCTTCATTTCCTCAGAACTCTTGTATTGCTTGTGTAAGTTAGCACAATCAAACTTTATTCCTCTACCCACACTGCCAGTTATCTTTGCCTGAACAGCTCTCATTTTCTCAGCTACCTGTGAACACATTTTTGGTATGGACTGTGTCCTATCCCATCTGTATCTCTCCCAGTAATTTCTTTAAGACACTGAGGGCTCTAGCACACTAGCCAGTAGATGACAAGCCCCCCACCTTTTTTTTTTTAACTTGGATACATTGACTACATTGAGTCAAACAATTCAACTTTGAGAATTCCCTTCTGATTAGCTGCTTGAAGATGAATGCACAAACATTCCTGTTCTTATTCTTAGTAAATTTGGGAAATGCCCTGAATTGTAATGTTACTAGCATCCAGATGATTCCTAGACACTACTGAAATGAACTTGGATCGCTGGCACAGTTTTCCCCAATTGCATTTGGTGGTGGAGCTGCTGGTGCCATTGTTGTCAATGTGGTTTTCCACTTGGGATATAAAGAATTCTTGATCCTTAAGTTGACAGCATAGGTTTAAGGGTGATTTCTTTTTCATCCTATAAAGAATTCTTGATCCTTAAGTTGACAGCATAGGTTTAAGGGTGATTGCTTTACAATCACCCCAGGATATTTCCACCTGTTTTCTGCAGCCTTCCCATTCTGCTTGCCACCTCCTAACTTTTTCATTCTTTCCTATTTATGTATTGATTTCCTGTTCATTGCTTTCATGTGGTAAAGTCCAAGCTCCTGGTGGCCAGTGTTTACCTAGCTTTAGATGAACAACACAGAAAGCTGCCAATATCCCAGGTTAGTGCTATGAATCTAATGCAAGTCTCCACAAGATGAACCCTGGCAAGCCCAGCAGATAAACTTGGGGCTTGGGGGTGGGCCAGTTTAAAGAAACACTATTTAAATACCAGAACCACATCCAAGTGTATACTGTTAATGGCTCTAGACACCAGGAACCCCTAGCATAAAGGGGTGCAGAACTGCTAAGTGACTAGACATAAGTGTATATAACCTTTACAGTAGGGGTCACATAGCCATAAGAATAGCCCAATACAAAAGAGAAACATTATCTAGAATATTAAGAAATGTGTTGGGCCAGACAGTGGTGGTGCATGCCTTTAATCCCAGCACTCGGGAGGCAGAGGCAGGTGAATCTCTGTGAGTTCGAGGCCAGCCTGGCCTACAAGAGCAAGCTCCAGGACAGCCTCGAAAGCCACAGAGAAACCCTGTCTCAGAAAAACCAAAAGAAAAAAAGAAAAGTGTGTTGGGACTTTATTTCTGTAACTCTTGACTGTGCGGATGGTTGAACCAGGGAAGTTTAAACTGTCTTCAACCCCAAGTGTGTGTGAGTTTATGGGAGATGACACTGACTCCAGGATCACTTGCACCAATCCTCCCGATAGTCCCAGATAATCCACATCATACTTGCTAAGTAGTCTCTAAACTTGTCCAAAGGAAAGGTTGGTTATGTATCACACTGATGAAATAGTTTCCAGCAGGAGATGAATCTAGGAAGGCAAAAGGTGCTTTTTGATAAGCAGAAAGTCCGCCCTTCTTGAAATCTGTGCACCCAACTGCAGGGCCCTGGAAGATTCTCCTAGTATCCACCCCACTGGGGTCCTTTTCTTCCCACAGCCATAACCAATGCTGCTCAGAACCTGGTACACAGTTGGTGTCTCTGTGAGGGCAGAGGTTGTGAGGCTGTCTATGTCTGTATCCCTGGCCCTGCACTGGAAAAGGAGACCCCTCAGCTTAGTGTGTCCCCCTCTGTGTCACATAAACAAAAACAACACCCCCTCCCCCATGCCTCCTGTCACTAGCCATTATAAGTGAGCAGATGTGTGGCTCTCAGTCATTCAGGCTGTATGAAACAGGGTGGTTATTTTCCCAGAAGGTGATGTGATGTTTCTTGACTTTCTCTTTCAGCAATGAGGTGGTAAGGAGTGACCTGAAAAAGCTGCCAGCCCTTCCTACCCAAGCCCTGAAGGAACACCCCTCCCTGGCCTACTGGTAAGACCCCCTGTCCCAGAACCTTCTCATAGAAAAGTCTCCCATCTTCAAGGAGGGTGCAGGGCTTCAGACCACTAAGGCCAACTATTAGCTCCCACATGCCTCTTCTCTCCCCACTGTGTCAGGGAACTTAGATGTTCAGAACTCTTTTCAGAGTCAGCAGCAGCAGTTTATGCTTATAATACCAGAATTTGGGGAGACTGAGGCAGAAGGATTCCAAGTTCGAGGTCAGCATAGGCTACACAGTACATTCCAGGATAGCTTGGGGTAGAGCAAAACCCTGTCTCAAAAAAAAAAAATAGAAAGAAAGAAAGAAAGAAGGAAAGAAAAGGCCAGAAATTATATCTGCAAATATTTACATAGCACATATGTTAGATCTCTCCCTTAATAATAACAATTTTGTGATTTCACTTTTGAAATGGCACCTCCTTAAGAAATATTTCCCGTGCTGATCCAGTTTCATGTTGGAATGGATGGCGGGATGTGGGAGGTCTGGAAGGGTGGGAGAAGCAGGTTGTTTCCTTGGCAACAGAAGAAGCAGGTTGTTTTCTTTCTCCTTGGTGTTTCCTATATCCCGATTTAACCGTTTGTCACATTATGCCATGGTTCATTTGCTGAGCCCTAAGTTACCCAATTCCACATGATTTAGGCATTTGTGGTTGGGCTGTGGTGGAGCAGGGCTCAAATTCCTAAAGAGTGTGTTGGAATCCTGCTGGGTACTTATGCACTGACCACTGCCCTGTGTCCCTTGTATTCCTTCTGACCCTTCTCAGGAAGTCGGGTGACTGCTCATAGTGTAAGACATAGTCCTAGTGGTATAGGCCTGCAACCCCAGATTCTCAGAGGGCTGAGGCAGGAGGATTACAAATTGAAGGCCTCCCTGAGCTACAGAGTGAACTCAAACCCCACAGCTTAGTGAAACCTTGTCTCAAAAAAAAAAAAATTTTAAGGGTTAGAATATAATTTAATGGCATGATGTTTGCTTAGCATGTGTGAGGCCCTCAGTCCAAGAAAGAAAGAAGAGAGGAGAGAAAAGGAGAAGGGAGGAGAGGAGAGAGAGGCGGGGAGAGGAGAGAAGAGAGGGGAAGGAGAGGAGAGGAGAGAGAAGGGGATGAGGGAGAGAGGAAAGAAGAGGAAAGAGAGGGAGAGAGAGGGGAAGAGAGGAGAGGGGGAGAAGAGAAGAAGGGAGAGGAGGGAAGAGGAGAGGAGGAGGGGGGAAGAGAGGAGAGGAAGCCAAAAGCACCAAACAAGTTGATCCTAGCAAACCCAACACATAGCTCACCATTCTGAAATTTTTGAACTGGTACTCCACCCTGTCTAGATACTTCAGCAGTAAATAAACTAAATGTTCAAGTATTCAAGTAGATTTAAGGATGCCTTTAAATTGGGAAGGTCAGATCATAATGCAGAGCTCTTTAGAGAGATGAAACCCATACGCAGAAATCACTTTTCTCAGAGAAGCCCCTTCCCTGAAGAGCTGGACTCAAGACTGTGAGTGCCGATCGGTAGACTTCCATCTCTCACTGTACCTCAGGCCTCATCTAGTCATCATTCTTCCTTTGGAAATGTATCTATAAACAAAGAGCAGGCTTATGCAAAGGACTCCAAATTCAAAACCTGTCTGGGTGATATTTGTGAGTTGAAGGCCAGCCTGGGCTATCAAGTGAGACATTGTCTCATTAAAAAAGATTGATGGTAATAGCTCCAGAGGCCAATGGTTCTCACATGCAGGGATGAATTACACTTGAGAACTGTAATGTCGGTAGACAGTCTGGAGTCAGAATTGCCTTTGACCTAATCTATCCCTCAATCAGGCCTTTATTTATTGTCTAACACTGTTAAACCAACCCCAATGCCAATTGCAGAGCTCCCCCTCCTCCCCCTCTCTCATCCTGGATCACTCTTGCATTGTCTCCACCCGATCCTCTGTGTTCATGTTATTAGTAATATAGAAAGCCTTCCTTCTGGCTCTGCTCTCTGCCTTTTATCAGCGTGAATATCTCTCTGCATAAACAGCTTACCCACAGCCATCTTAGCAGTATATCCTTTAGGCACGTGACCAAGCCAGCCCTTTTCTAGGGCCTCACCCAGACCCCTGAGTGCTCAGTCAACTGTCTAATGCACTGGGAGAGAGGCTGGATAGGGAAGCCTTCCAGTGTCACACCCATCTGTGAACCAATCAATAGCAAGGATCATCCTGGTGCTAAAAGAATCCATGGCCCTTTCACTGTGTCCCCACCTTGTTGCCTTGTGCTCAGCCTATTTGCAAGAAGCAAAGAGAGTTCAACTTTTCTGTAGCCTGTGGGTTTTTCATTGTTATTGTGTCTGGTCCTTAAACAGATCTTGGGTATTTGGGAGACATTCTGCAGAGCTAGGAACACTACCCTTTCCATAGGTTCCAGAGACAGGTGGGAACAGGATGGAGTGGATTTGGACAGGCTAGATGAGTCCCCAGCTGGCACTGAGTATGTCATCACATGACAGGCCACTGTTGACTTAATGGGAAGAAAGAAGTGGGAAAAGTGGAGTTGAGAGAAGGTCACCACTGTGGCTTACCAGATGGCTTTAGATAGCAGGCAGCCGGACAAAGTTGGAGGTGGCAGCTGTCAGGTCCCATGAGACCTTGTAGTCAGGCCAGTAGAACAGCTGCCTGGCAGTGTTTGGGACTTTGTTTTGTTGATGTTTCTTAAGCCTTGCTTATGTTCAGAACATCATATTGACTTTCAGTCCCCACCCCGACACCTCAGGGATGCTCTTGACCAGAGCTAAAAAAGAAATGGGCTTGCATCTCCATTGGTTGGCTTGACCACAGATCCAGAAGTTGACTTCATCAAATCACAGTTATGTGGTTGAGAATGTGCTATTATAGGTCATGAACTTATAAAATAGATGTCCTCAATAGTGTGGGGGGGGGGGAGAAGGTTCCACATAAATTCTGGGGTGAAGAATTATTAGTGAGTGCCCAAGATCAGTGAACGAAATCTTGAGGGTACAACCCTGTATCACACATTCTCCCCATCATGACGCTCTTATACAAAGTTAAAGGAGTCCCCTTGTTGAAGAAATGACAGGTGAATCTGTGGGAATCAAAGTCAAAACTATAGCCCAGGGTATAGAGGATAAAGCTTTTAAAATTGTCCTTAGTAGGTGGTACATAAGACCTTTTGCCAACAACTGTTCCCCATTTTTTCTGTGGGCTGACTCTTCAACTCCTGAGACTGTAATGGGAGCTCCATTGTTCCCACCTTTCTTGGCACCAGTCACTCCCCAGGAAGTCTGTACATTACCCCAACCACACTCCATTCTGTCAAAGAAAATTTTGGCTAGCCATTGTCACCAAGGAGCCATTTAATCTCCTGTTAATTTTAGAAGTAAAACCTCAAAAGATAAATGGGCTGTAATCTCATTCTGTTAGCTAGTATGTTGTTTTCCCAATGTGGCCCTGGGACTTTTATTCACCAGGCCCATATTCCAGAATTTTCTCTCTGCCTTGGAAGCTCTGAGTCTTAACTACTCAGAACGGTTTAGCCCAGAGCACTGGGTAGGAGCAACACTACCCCGCAGCCCCAGATCCTGTGTGGATTGGACCAGAAGGGAGAACTGAGCAAGTTTAACCACAGCATCCTCAATCTTATCTAACTGACAAGCAGTCAGAGGTAAAGATAATGTAAGTCCTCTGAGGAGAAAACAGGCTTTTCTATCCCTACTGTTTCTAAGAGAATTCTAAGAGCAGCATTGAGACATGTCATTTCAGGACATGGTTATTTTCCATCTATAGCTTCCTCAGAGGTTCTCATGGGGATGGAGGGTGAAGTCTTAGTGCCCTGGGGGGCAGGATGCTCACCTCTAATGCCAAAATCCTTTCCTTCTGATTCTAGTGAGGACAGAGTCATTGAGTACTACAAGAAACTGAATGGCCAGACAAGGGGTCAAGCAATCGTGAAGTAAGTGGCCCCTCTGAGTACGCACTAAGATTGTGTTTGGGAGCTGAAGAGACAGCTCAGTCAATAAAGTGCTTGCCCTGTAAGCAGAGGAACCCCAATTCAGATCCCCGGAACCCACCCACGTAAAAACAAAAACAAACAACAACCAAAAGAAAAAAAACACACAAAACAACAGGCATGGCAATGGCCATATAATGGCAGCCCTGCACAGTCAGAGGCAAGCAGATCCTGAGACGTCACTAGCCAGCCAGCATAGCTGAATCAATGAGCTCCATGCCACTGGGGCTGAGTCTCAAAAAAATAATGTGGAGAGCAATAGAGGAAGACATTCAACATCAACTTACACATACTCGCAATTATATTTGCAGATGCACGTACACGTGAACACATACACACATATACACAACATACACGCATACACGCATACAAAGACTGTGTGTCAATAGGCTACCTATCAAGGTTGTTGATTTCTCCATTAAAAGATATGTAGGGAGAGGGGTGTTTCTACTAATTTCCAAGTTAATAATCACTCCAGACCTCCATAACACACAGCAGAAGGACATATATATGTGATACAACACCACTTCTGTCTAATAACCATTGTGCATTGTTGTGTGCGTTGTCTTCACAGCTACATGAGTATCGTGGAGTCTCTCCCAACCTACGGTGTTCACTATTATGCAGTGAAGGTAAGTGAATGTATTTGCTGAATTCTGCCCACACTGTCCTGGAAAAACAAGCAAGCAAACAGAAGATTCTCATATTTTTTAGTCTGGAAATTCTGAAGGGAATACAGTTGATAGAGGTTGGCTTGGTCAGAAAGACTGCTTGCCAGGGGAAATTGAGCAACTGAATTTTATCCCTAGGGTACTAACTCTTGATAGAGTGACTCTCCGATACTCTTTATTTTTTTCTTCTGTGAAGTAATGTAATAAATCTCTACTTCCTTTCCATCTCAGAGGAATCCTGGGAAATCAGGGCTTCAGGGCCTCTCACTAAATACGAGGAACCAGAGAGACCAAAAACCTGTGGCAGAATGTTGTGTTTCTCTTGGGGGTCTGATCCCACATAGTCAGCTTTCCAAGGAGAACTGGGACCATAGAAAGAGTCTAAGACTGTGTTGTGGAATGTGGCATTATCAAATCCAATGTGATATTAACTTAGTCTAAATTCTATTCAGTTCCATCCACACTGTGTGACAATGACATCTCTTCTGAGATGATAGCTAAAGATGCCTTTCTTAAGCCTAAGTCACAGTGTCAAGCAGAGCAAACTGGCCTCTGGAAACTTCTTCTGTTCCATATGAGAAAGGTGAATCCTCCCCAAAGTCCAGCCCCCTAGGTAATGTTGTATAGGAAGATGTGGCCACTGACCCCCAAGTACAAGTGTTCATGAAAAGGAGCTCAGAATCCCCTATGCCAGGGTTTGTCACTCTGACCTCACAGTGTCACTGAGTTTCCTCTGGTTTTATTCAACAAAATCAGTGTCATGTACAGGCACCACCCGGAGACAGCAACAGGGAGCAACATAATGATCTTACACTACATGTCTGCCTACCTATCTGTCCGTCCATCCATCCATCTATTCATCTACCTAGCATGCACAAGCACAAGACCTTGAGTGCAATCCTCCCTGCTATAAATAAAGAAATAAATACTTTTTAGATGGAGTGGGGTAGTTCATTGGTAGAGTCCACATTTAACACACATGAGGCCATGAGTTCATTCCCCAACACAAGAAAAGATTGTAAAGAAACCATATACTTCTGGAGCTTTGAATGATTTTTTTCTACTCCGGGTACACTGCCTTCTCCCATGTCATCAGCTGAGCCAGGAAATCTCTTTGTGTTTATCTTCTCCAGCCCCATGTTGACCTATACTCCTTTTGATATCCTAGGACAAGCAGGGGATACCATGGTGGCTGGGACTAAGCTACAAAGGAATCTTCCAGTATGACTACCATGATAAAGTGAAGCCAAGGAAGGTAAGAGTGCCCTCTCCTATGGACTTGAGGGCTTTCTTTTGAGAGAGGAACGGGGTATAGTGAGTTAACATTGCACAGCTTGAGGGCTCACCAATCCCATGCTAATGTATGTATATATAAATTGCAGTGATTTTGTCTGAGATCCCTGGGTAAATATTTTTGTCTCTCAGTCTCTAAGGAAACAAAGTGTTATAATTACTTAAGGTTTGGTTTTTGGCTCCATCTTCCAAGAGCAGATGGGCAAATGGGCTCTGAGGAACTATCATGGACGTTTTGGCAAAATGAAGGAATATTATCTCCTGAGGACAATCTGAGTTCTCCATGATGGCTTTTGGAGTAGAGCCATAGGTCAAGAGAGTGTACAGGTCAAGGAGTAATGAAAATATAAAGAGTTAGAAAAAATCTTGAAAATCTGGCAAACACCTTAATGGTATCATAGAAGTGAACAGAGACTAGAGTCATCTGCCCCAGAGAAAGGGAGTCAAGCCACTGGAAACACGAGTGTGTTTGAATTTTCTTTTCACTTGCACAACATTTTCTAAACCCAAACAAATTGAAAACTTAAATGGAAAAATGCTTTTGGTGTGAAAGTGAACTGTTGGTCTACTATGCACCCTAGACTGCTGCCCAAGCTGTTGTATCTGTGACTAGGATAGACACCCACCAAATACATCTGGGCTGGCCACACTCTATGCACATCTAGACTAACCACACTCTATGTACACCTGGGCTGGTCACACTCATGTACACCTGGGCTGGTCACACTCATGTACACCTGGGCTGGTCACACTTATGTACAACTGGGCTGGTCACACTCTATGTACACCTGGGCTGGTCACACTCTATGTACACCTGGGTTGGTCACACTCTATGCACACCTGGGCTGACCACACTCTATGCACATAACTGGGCTGACTACACTCTATATACATATATGGGCTGGCCACACTCTATGTATAAACTTGGGCTGACCACTTTATGAAGTAAACACTGACCTCTTAGTCACTTTCTTAAATTGGTAATAGGAAAATGGCCCTGTGATAGGAAGAATTTTCACTCAGTTGACCAGTAAATCACTTCATTTCTAAGTAAAGGTCATGAACAAATGATGGAGGAGTTGTTCACTGGGAATAATGCAGCAAGGACCTGACTCTTTGGCGGACTGAGTTGCTTTGTGTGGCAAGCTCCAAAACCTCTGTTTGCCATTTACACATAAGAAGTGAATAGTGCCCCCTGTTCCTGCTTAGCACTCTAAGTTTTCTGGGCTGTAGACTCACACTTCTTCCTTGCTGTCTTTCTGTTTCCCTGGTACTTTTCTCCATCTGGCCCTTCTAATTCTTTGTGTAAGTTCCCTCTTCACGCCCTCCTTCTCTTTTACATCACCACTTCTTTCTTTCCCTCCAGCCAAACTGTTTTTTTTTTTTTTTCTACTTGCAAATGACAAACATACCCAGCACCTTTCACAAAGCCCTGGTTGCAATGTGTGCAGTTCTGCCTTGCCCTCCTTGGAAGGAGAAAGCTGGGAGGACAACATAGCTTAGGACATTCACAGTATTGGGTCTGGATAGACACCCAGGGAACTGTAGAGAATAGACACTTAGGTATTCAGTTGGACCTTAAAGGTGTCAAGAATTTCCAAAGCATAAGTGAAGCAAGGCCAGTCTGTGAAATCCATGCCAACAGTATTGAAACTTCTGTCCACTGTATTCCTGAGTAGGTGTTTTTTCTTAATTTCTCTTAAGTATAATTCTAATGAAATTAATAAGATAGCACTTAGTATATATAAAACACAAGAGAGACGAATAACATGGATTCAATGAATTAATCACTATTAGTTAGAACCGAGTTTTGGTTTCCAGTGCTCACAGAAAGTTCTTTAAAAAAAAAAAAAAGTATCAACAGAGAAGGAAGGACAGCAGTTGGATCCCCATAAAAGTCACTAGCATTCATGAGTGAAAATTTTCAGTTCTTGGTCATGGAAATCCCTGGGAGACAGCCAGATGCTGCCTGTGCAGGATCATGTGCAGTTTGGGGGTCCTTGGGAAATGAGTGCACAAGCTGAATATAAAATTAGCAACAGTCCTTTCAAACCCCAATCAGGCCAAGTGATGCTTCGGCTTCATTAGCTTTGAGGGGTCTGTGTGCCTGCCAAGACATTAATGGGACTTAAGGGCAAAACTGAAGAGTGAACGAAAGCCATAGTTATGAAATCCAGGCTGCTGGAAGACTTGGGGAGGAGTCCTTTATCTCAGTACCTGACATTATTAGCACCACAAACCCCTTTTTTGTTGCATGTAGGAAACAGGAGAGACTCTGAGCAGCTTAGAGCACCGGAACATGCATGTGTTAAGGAGCTGCACACACCTCGCAGATAGTTATCACTGTAGACTCCCTTACAGAGTATTCCAAGTCCCTCCTTGATACCTCCAAACCAAGTTCTTAACCTCCACTGTGTGTCAGAGACTCCAGGAAGATGCTGGAATTCACAGCTGCTTTCCTGGGTCCACCTTGTCTCTCTGACTCTCTGCTATGCATGTAGAAAGTATTACAAGGATATTCACGTGGGTCTGGAGATAGGTACCATCACTCAAGGCCATCTGTGCTTCCTGCACTGAGACTTGGGAAAAGCTGGCCAGGTAGATGAGGCGTGACTGGGTTGTCCCTGGGTACTGAGGACTGGAGTGTTCCCAAGCACAGAGGATGAATGAGCTACATCTGAGGGATGTCCTCCAGGTGGTAGCACGCCTTCCTGGCACTGGGGCCAGGTACATCCCCAGCACTTTAAGCCTCCAGGGATGCTCAGGAGATGATCGGTGCCCAGAACTAAGTACTTGGAGGCATCTGTGGCAACAACTGCCTCTCTTGCCCGGGCAGCTCTTCCCACCCAGCAGCGAGCAGAGGCCCTCACTGACACTTTGATCCACTTACAGCAGCAGCTCTGCCACATGGCACCAAAGTACAAGGAGCCAACCTTCAAGTTGAGGCAGCAGCAAGGCTGAGCTCTCCCCATTCCTTTGAAGGGCTAAGGGTTGTCCTCCGTTATGCCACCTGTGACTATCCACACAAGTGTTCCCAAAGGGCTCATCAAAATTGTCTCCCCAAATCCCTACGAGTCCAGAGCTAATGGCCATCTCATGTCAGAGGGACTGTAGTAGTTTGGTCCTAGTTCGCTGGATGAGATGCAACTGGCCATTCTAGTATCAGCATCTACCCTATGTCACTGAGTCCTGCTCCGAATGGCCTTGGAAAGGTGGGGTGCAAAGTGAGGTGCCTCTGGGTTTGAGTAGGAGGAAGAATTATGCTTCCTGCTACTAGTACCCCGCAGTACAGCAGTACACTACCTGGCTCTCTCCTACAAGCAGATTCTTCCCCCCCCCCCTAAGTACAGCTCTCTGTACAAGCTGTGAGCTTCATTTCAAACCCCTTTTTAAAAAGTCAGGTGTTATAGAGGCCTGTAACTCCAGCATGCTGTGCTATAGGCAGTTACAGGTCATCCTAGGCCACATTGCAAGATCCTGTCTCAAAAAAGAACATGGAAAACATACAAAATTTAAATTTAAGGAAGAGGCCAGCATATCTCTGTGAGTTCAAGTCCAGCCTGGTCTACAGAGCAAGTTCCAGGATAGCCAGGGCTGTTACATAGAGAAACCTTGTCTTGGAAAAAAAATAATAAATTTAAAGCAGACAAAAACTTCGAATTCTTGGCTGGGCTTTGGTGGCACACGCCTTTAATCCCAGCACTCGGGAGGTAGAGACAGGCGGATCTCTGTGAGTTTGAGGCCAGCCTGGTCTCCAGAGCGAGTGCCAGGATAGGCTCCAAAGCTACACAGAGAAACCCTGTCTCAAAAAACCAAAAAACAAACAAACAAACAAAAAAAAAAAAAAAAAACTTTGAATTCTTTAGGAAATGAGCGCCTAGGTAGTGAGGTATTTCTTGCTTCCTGTCCCTCAAACCACCCCAAGCATATTTTGTCAGAAACAATAAGACATGTGGGGGCTTTTTTTTTCTTATAAAACTTGGTTTTTGTCTCTTGAGTGTGTTCTGAAGAATTTAGAAGTTCTAAATGAAAAGAACCAGGGGTTGCAACCTCAAGGAACTGAAGAGGAGGCCATGGGTGAAAGCTGCTTACTGGCTTGCTCTCCATAGCTTGTTCAGCCTGATTTCTCGTACAGCCCAGGACAACCTGCCAGGGACAGCATGGCCCACCATGAGCCGGGGCCTACCAATCAAGAAGATGCTCTATAATCTTGCCTATGAACAACCTGAAGGAGGCATTTTTCTCATTGGAACTTCCATCTTCCTAAAAGACCATAGCTTATACTAGGGTGACAAAATAAATAAATAACCAGCACAGATGCTGGCACAGAAGACTAGTCCTCTGAATGCCCTAAAGTAGCAACAACCAGGATTTTAAAATGAATGAAATCTCTCATAGGTGTATATCCCCCACTGCAATGCTCCTTGCTTATATACATGATACTTTCTGAGAGTACATTATAACGTGTTGTACGAGCCTTTATCGACCCCCTCCACCGACTCTCAGGAAATAACCATTGCATTGTTCACACAGTAAAGTTGTCCTCTTACCTTCAACCTGTCTCCCAGTTCCTGTCAATACTCACATACCACATGCCACTTAGAAATATCCCTTTGGCTAGTGTTACTCTCTTTTCTTGCCAATGGGCAGTAGGCCTGCTAATTTTTATGTATATTAATGTAGAATCAGAGGAGGGACTGTCTCTCCTCTCTCTCTCTCTCTCTCTCTCTCTCTCTCACACACACACACACACACACACACACACACGCACACACACACACACTTCTGTCTTAGTTTAGCAGTGAATAAAGGATGGGAAGATCATAGTGGCCAAGGAAGAAACATCCTGCCTCTCCATAAGTTATTGTCTCCTGTTTCATCCCAGTTGTAGACTCCCTTTAACATGTGTACACACGTGTATAGAAATACCTCACTACTTAGGCACTCATTTCCTAAATTAGA